ACCTAGCAGTTCGAAAGCATACCAGCGCAAGTAGATAAATAGGTACCGTTACGGTGCAAAGGTAAACTGCATTTCCATCCACTCTGGCTTCCATCAAGGTGTTCTGTTGCGCCAGAAGCGCTGTAGTCATGCTGGCCACATGACCTGGAAAAACTGTAGACAAATGCTGGCTCCCTCTGCCTGAAAGCAGAGATGAGAGCCGCATCCCATAGTTGAATTTGACTGTACTGTACTTAACCGTCCAGGCATGTGAGCCAAAGTTTCCACCTAGGCTGAAAGTTGTCTAATCGGAGCCTAGGATTTGACATTAGAATGTTAGTGTGTTTGAATTACTGTAATGAATGAGAGATTCATCTGGGGGGGGGTCTGCAACAAATACTGGGCAGGTTGACAATTTCTAAGATGCAGACAGAATGAGATGTGATACAGCAGAAAGTGTTAGGGGTTAAGAGTCTTTTTCTGGGGATCTGCTGCACTGTAGAAATAAATGCTTGTTAGTTGACATTTATAATCTGCTTTCAGATTTGAAAAAAAGTAAAGATTAGAAAGGCAAAAAAAGAAAAAGAGAGTTTATTTCTTTCACAAACTGCACGTGTCACCTTTGAGAACTGGGAAGCTAGATTTTAAAATGTGTATGTTATGTACAATTTTTTATAATACGGGTTGTAGTCAGCTAAGTTTTACTCAGAGTAGACCTGTTGAAATTAAAAGCCCATAAGTACCTAAGGTCCATTAATTTCAATGAGTCTACTCTGAGTAAAAGTTCTTTGCTCACGATCCACAAATGTCATTTACAATCTCTCTGTTGCTTGCTCACATGTGACCTTTAAGACTCGACATCTAATACACCCAGGCAGAGGAGGTACTGCAAATGTTTCTAGAAATTCCAGCAATAAAAATACAAAATTCATATACTCTGATTAACAGTTGAGTTAATTTTCCTTAGCCAGCTTGATTCCGTAGATAAATTACATAACGAAAAGATATTTTATAGCACAATTTAGCCAAACTGGTGAATTTCCTGGAAGACCCAATAGAACTCAAGGAATTTTGCTAAATCTCCACATCAAACTAGTGGCCAAAAGCATCAGCTGTCAGCTGCTAATTCCTTTCCCTTTGATTCTTGCACTCCCTGGTGTACACGCTTATTCATGAGACTTCAGGAAACCCCTTTTGTCTCCATCTCCATGGAAGAAGCCATAAAGAGACTACTAAATAATTCATCATAGCCACCCACTTACCAGTATCTCACTAACCTAAGGCACTAAATGTCCTTGCTTACTAACACCATAAATATCTGTTCGCAGCTCTCTAGAGGAGGTTAGGTGCTCATGTTCTCATATAAGGCGGATATTGCATTCAGAAAACAAATTAGAGATAATTAGGCCTGCATCTCTCTTAATTATTCATTAATACGTTTTATTTGCTAGGTCAGCTGATTCAAAATACAACCTCAGAATAAACCCCAGAAAAATTATATATAATATAGAAGATAGGCAAGATTTATATATCATATAAGCTTTTTTATGCTATTTGCTTCTGAAAGAATAATAAACATCTTTTTTCAAAACAATGTTAAGGTTATTCAAAAACGAAATATAAAGTTGATCTTATACCAAAAAAGTAACTGCATACAGAGAAACACCACCCCCATATACTTCCCCATCTCCTCCTTTCCAAAGCTTTCAACTCATGAAAGGCTTCTCTGACTAGTTTTCAAGGCCCTCTTAACCCACCCCATTCAATAGGCTCCCTTAACCCCAGTAGAGCATTTGGGGAGGGTGGTCCTTGGGGAGGAGGGGGCAAAGAACTCGGCTTCCATCAGTCTTCTTATACACATTTAACTCTGGATCCATGGGTGTGTTAGAGTCTTGAGCCTACAGATTACTGCTACAAGCTTCCATAGTTAGACAATTTGTGGTTTCTAAAGTGTGTACAAAGGACTGTAACTGCTCTTCCCATTTATTGTTTATTTGCTTCCTTATAACTTACTGGATATGGCCTCCATAGTGTTTGCAATCAATAAAGTAGGTTACATTGTCAATCCAAATTTGCTGTGATTATTTAACATGCAAGGGACATTTCTGTTCTTTCCTCAAAGGAAGATATTAGATGGCGTAATACAATCCAAACCATGGCTACTTGGGAGTGGGCCCAATTGTATTAAATGGAGAGCTTACTCTCAAGTAAAGGCTTCCGACACTGCAGCCTTCATTATTTAAGACTCAATCAAAAAACAAATTAAAAACAGAAACAGTGTGACTTTAATTCTACTTAAAATGCAAATAATAGTAGCTTAGCTATGAAGTTGCTAATAAAGCCTCAGCCACAATAAAGATAAAGTAAGGATAAATGGGGGAAATTAATTTCAAATGAGATTATTAAAGCCTTTTTTTAGTTTTCTTCATTTGTTAGGCACCCAATTATCACATGGCTAATTAGACTGCATTATAACACACTTTAAACAATGCCCAAAGATAATAATCTAATATAATGCCACACTCTATTGCCTTGGTGGAGGAAAGGAAAATTGCTTACCAATATGCTCATTTGGTCTCAACTGGCTTGAGGACCAAAGAGAATCTTGCCGAAAAATTCTCAGGCTTGAAAGTTCCCTATCATCCCCTTTTCCTGAGCCACAATTGGCTTTCTCCTCCCATCAATCTCTCTATAAAAAGGTGAAACAATTAAATTTCTTTTTTTTTCCCCCTGCTCAAGCTACTCCTTTCAGTGGCATCCCATTCCTTCAAGGGAAGAAGCTGTTGGAAGCACTTTGTCAGTTTAGATGTACATTTGAGTTTTTCGAAGTGTTGAGACCATTCCAATGTTTGCTCTTTGATAGAAGCGCAAAACCGTTCTAGAGGTGTTGCCAGAGGGTGGAGGTGGTTGTGGGTGCTGCTGTTGCTGTTTTATTTTTGTTTTTTAAGGAAGTTTTCTGCAATTCATACACCATTTTCTAAAAAAATATAATCTGACAATGATAAGAAAGGTTTCTATGTTTCCATAAAGTCACAGCAGGCAGGCATCGAGGCAAGAATGCTCAAAATTTCCTGTATATTCATTCAGAATTCTCGCCTACAGCAAGTTTTGAATATGCTGCCACATGTTCAGCAACACAGATATCATTGAGAGGACACAACCCGTGCCTCATCTTCTCAAAATGTTTAGCCTAAAAATGGTGTCGAATTCCCAGCAAGGAGGAGGATCCCTGAGCAGATCTAGTCCAATCACTGTCAATGGAGTAGAATGAAAAACAAGTGAAAAAATCCAAGCCCATGGGCTTGGGGAACTTGCAAATGGAAATCATCAGGTGGGTTCTGGTAACAAGAGGGCTGCTGCACTCAGGTCTCACTTGCGGGCTTCTGATGGCATCTGGTTGGCACCTGTGCCACCAATGAACTAGATGGGCCGTTGGTCTGATCCAATTTTAACAAAGCTTTTTGAAAGTCTCTGTAAGCAATGTCAACTGGATCTCCTCTATCAACATGCTTGTTGCCTCTGAAAGAACTCTAAAAGATTGCTGAGGTCAAACCTACCCTTGTAGAAAGCATGGTAGCTCTGTTTCAGCAGAGCTCTGTTCTTTTATATGCCTTATAATCATATCCTTAACCACTGTTTCCACTATTTTTTCACCCAAAAGAGGCATTAAGCTAAGCAGCCTGTAAATGTCCTGGTTCTCCTCTGGATCCCTTTCTTTTAAATAAAAAAAAAATAGTGTTATATTGGCCATTTTCCAATTCTCCATTATGGCAGCTCATCTTAGGAACAAGTTACATACAGTGGTACCTTGGGTTAAGAACTTAATTCGTTCTGGAAGTCCGTTCTTAACCTGAAACTGTTATTAACCTTTGGCTAATGAGGCCTCACCACGCGATTTCTGTTCTCATCCTGAAGCAAAGTTCTTAACCTGAGGTACTACTTCAGGGTTAGCCGAATCTGCAACCTGAGGCATCTGTAACCTGAAGTGTCTGCAACCCAAGGTACCACTGTATTGTTAAATGACAAATTTCTGGCCATCTGAGTTCTTTAAGAACTCTCAGGTGGAAGTGATTTGTCAGTTTTCAGTTTGTCAATAAGGCCTGAAACATCATCTCTTATCACAACTATTTGCCTCAGTTCCTCAGACACCCTTTCTAAGGATGTTAGTTCAGGTACAGGGATCTGCCATAAATCTTCTGCTGTGAAGACAGAGGCAAAAAATTAATTTCATTTCTGTGCATTCTCATTTTCCTGCTTTAGCATTCCAACAGTAAACAAATGGGCACCACTACATCAGAAGGACTCTCCATTTGGAATCATACAGGAAATATAGGTGAACTTTAGCAGCAGCTGTAGGGAAAGGTGGAGCACCAGCTTATTCTCTTTGATGCTGGTTTAACTTTCTGTGTTCAGTAAAAAAAAATTAACTGATGGTAGGTTGTTTGGTATCGACTTCTCTAACTGGCGGCTGTTCTCCAGTTCTACAGATAGGGATCCTTTGTTCAACATCAAATATGAGAGAGAGACCTCTTTCCACATCATACTGCCAATATGGAATCTGATGGAGCCTAGCTCCTTCCTGCATCACTGAGGAATTATGAGAAGCTCACACTTCGTTGTCCCACTTTCTGGAAAGACTCTGGTGTGAGTAGGAATAATCCTGCAGTGGCTCCCAGGGTACACAAGTAAGAACAGGTTTAAGTGAAGAATATATTTGGATGCACTTGCTTGTCATCAAATAGTTCTGTACATAGTGGTACATCTGCAAAAGATGCCTGTGCAATATTATGAATTGATGATGACTACAAGATATCAGCAAATTTATTTCATTTTCTGCCTGAAAAGAATGGGGAGGGGACGACACTTTTCCCCTCCATCGAATAAACAGGAATGAAGTATGAACAAGAGCCAGAGGCAGACTAGAACTTGATTATACATAACTAGGAGAACGTAGCATTTTGGCTAGCATTTAAAATTGTTCTGAAACAATCCCTCTCCAGCCTGCCAAGCACAACACTCACCCAAGGTGCTGAAGGTACCAGAAGCGTCAAAGTGAGCAAATCATTGCAACATTCCTCCACAGACTGCTGACACTGAGTTGCATGATTTATCAGCCGAGCATAAACAGCAGTTGGTAGGATGTGCTGAGCTGCCTCAGAGGACATCTGTCCTGGGGCAAGAACAAAACCCAGATTTTGCCTCATGGCAAGCAGGTGTCTCCGCAGCTTGCTAAGTTTTCCTTCAAGAGCGCTCTGCGAAAACAAGAAAGGTTAAGACGAGAAACGGTAAACATTGAGGAAATCAAAACAAGTTAAGCATGCCAGGTGAAAGGCCACACGCCCTCACTAGGTACCTGCAAGGCACCACAGTGGGTAGGCTGACATTTCCAAAACAATCACTTGGGAACTGTAGTGGAGACGTCAAACCCCAGGCATTCCTCTGCCGTTCCCCCCGCCCTTCCAAGCCATCTGTGGAAAACATGTGTTGAGGGGGCATGATCTGACAAAGCATGAAACACAACAAATTGCCAGAATTCTAGCTTCTTAAAACAAATAAGAAAACAGAGATCAAAGCTACCCTCCAAAAAGGGCTGATTGTTTTTCCAAAAGAACAGCTCAGAGCTAGAGTAGTAAAAAGGATTTTTTGGAGAGGGTGAGGGAATCAAACTTCTAAACAGAGTATTAGAAAACCATAAACAAGCCAATGTTTATCTTCTACCTACCACAGAATCCTGTGTCCTTTTCCTGTTTAAACCTTTAGCCAGCTGTATTTGCCATTTACTGAACAGCATGTTTTCATTTAGTATAGACTAAGAAGTCATTGCTAAGATCAAGCGCTCATTTTGAAGCAATTAGCATAAAAAGATTAAAATGTATAAATGCATAAATGCACAAATGTATAAATGTAAAGAAGAATGTGCAGTTGTACTGCCAAATAACACACCCAAATAAGACTGGTATACATTCTGAGAATATTCACATATTTAAAAGAATTTGCAAGACAAAAACATTTGGATGCAAGTGTTCATGCAAATTTCTTCATAATACACACAGCATCTTGAATGCTACAATATAAGCTGTTTCTCTCATCTTTTATGTACAACTTTGAATACTTCATTTTCATTCAGCACTTATCTGATGCTTCTAACTGTTACACATGATTATGCATTTCGCAGCTGATGTTGTTCTAAACTTCATATAAGCAACAACTTCAAATGAAAAATAGGTTTTTAATTCATGGATACTTTGCACACAGGTGTGTGCGTGCATGCACTTACAAGCAGAAAGGAAGTAGTTATAGTCGTTTTGCTTCCAAAGGGAAACCAGCAAAAACCTCAGGTTCTACAGAATTAAAAAGTAGCTCATCCCAGTTACTCTAGTCCCTTGCAGATAAGAGTACAAAGCATTTACAACATCCTGAGGTTGCCTATATATAATTTTCCATCCCTCTGGAAGTGAGTGAGCATATCTCTTTGCATGGTGCTCCTGAGCAGAAGAGCAACCAACAGAAACTCACAGGGAGAGAACAAATTACATGCTAGGTTTGGTAACCCTCTGACACATCATCTCTGAACTGCATATAAGTACCAATTGAGTTTAGAGATACAAATTCAAGCTTAAGTTCTGTAAAGTCATACATAAATTGGCTCCACTGAAATCGAAGTAATTCCTGAACACAACTGTAAACCTTGTTTTATCTCAGCTCTTTCCAGAAGATATGAAGGCAGGATGAAAGCTAGCTTTTGTCTGCCCTCAGTCCTTCTCTCCTGGCAACTGCTACCCAGATCTGAGAAGAAATAGAAGCAAAAAGGAGTGTGTGCTGATGGGAAAGCGTCAGAGATGTGAGGAAGGCTCAATTCTAGATGCAGAGTCAAAACTTGAACTGTAGGCAAAGACTCTCTGTTCACTTCTGGACAGCTAATGAGTCACAACAGCTGATCGTCAACACAATAGCTAACAGAGGAACCTGTGTGTGTTGCATAGGATCCTGTAGCTTACTTAGGGTGTGTGGTCAGTGCATGTGCAACACTGACCAGGTCATTGTCACTGGGTGCAAACTAAGCATGCATTCTAGAGCACATCCCACACTACCCAGTGGAAGATTACAATGATAAGCAAGCTGTCTAGTATGGAAGCTTATCTGTCATTAAAGACCTCACTAAGGAACCTCACTAAGGAACCCCTGATAAGCCCTCTAAGGAACTTTGAGGTTTTCCAGTACACAGCTTGAACATCACAATCTGATATCTGAATTTAAGTTTTTTTCTGTTCTCTAATGCTTTTAAAATTCCAAGTACTTGACAACCAACAGTGTCCCATTTAAAGAGCACTCAGTTATTTAGTAACTTCTGTAAAACACCTCAACAGGGAAAGATTGTTCCAGACTTTGCAATCTGTAATGGAAAAGAGTACTTTGTACTATATTTCTGTATTTTAAAAAACACTATTAGTATTTTTGAAAGCATTACAGTATATATAAGCTTTATACTAATTTGAAGACTAAGTATCTGACACTTCTATTATTATTTTGCTCAAGTATCCTTGATTTTCATAAATATTCCTGATATGATCATATTTTTCATGGTGTCCTTCCATTCTCTATGGTTTTCAGGGAATGCTTTTCTTTCTCTAGACGTGATTGTGCATACCAAACGAACAGTGAAACCTTTATTTGCGTCAGCCATCGGGCCATAGCAATAAAACAATACGATATACACAAATAAAAAGTCAATTATCTAAAATACATTTTAGGTTTTGAAACAATAGCTAGATAGTGGATCTTATTCTAATTGCCTCAGCTAAAAACCTTGCAACCATACCTATCCAGATATGTCAAGCTGCCCTTGTAGTTTCAAGTAAGAACATAAGTATTAAGCAAACACCTGGTGTATTTATAGATGCTTGGAGGCTGAAGCCAAGTTCTCACTATATTACTGATTTCAGTATGTTCATGTCTGAGTGCACCTGGCTTTACAGTCTAGAGGTTGAGATATATGGCTGCTAAGAGGCTGCCTCCTCCCCTGTTCTCCTCAGTCAGTACAGCATGAGACTCTTGATCTCAAGGTCGTGGGTTTGAGCCCCATGTTGGGCAACAGATCCTTGCATTGCAGGGCATTGGACTAAATGACCCTTGCAATCCCTTCCAACTCTAGACTTCTATGATTCAATTGCTAGGCTCAGCAAGTTAGAATGAGAAGCCCACAAAGAAAAAATTCTCACTACCAAAAAAAAAGGGGGGGGAGGTTCGCTGACTGATCTTCAATTCCAAAATGTACATGTGTGCATACATTCCATTCCTCCCTGAGATCCATCAAAGTCAAAAACAGATGATGGTCCGATGGTATGTTATGCATTGCTACAGCTAAAGTTATGTTTTGCGGTTGAGATAGCACCTGGAAGCCATCTCCAGGCTCTCTGACAAAGTGCATGATTTAGTAGTTGAATAAAGAAAATGAACCAAGGCATTCTGCAAAAGCAGTGTGAAACATGTTTGTTTAAGCCAAGGGTAACCAAGGTTGTGTCCTCAATATTCTTTTCGCCTACCTCGTAGCAATCGTCACAACTTTTTGGGTATTTGGCAGTTAGGCATTGGAATGTGTTGTTGGTGTGTGGAAGGGCAAGGTGTGGCCATCGCCTACCCCTTCACTTATGGGTATTCCGTTAAAGGAATCCGGCAGTTGTGGATCCTGTCCGATGCCCTGTGTGGCGGGGGGCCATGGCATGACCCTCGGTGACATCAGGGGAGAGCTTATAGTTGTATTTGCATCAACAGGCTCCCCCTACTGGTGGTTAACCCCTCAGCAGACTCGCCCCTCTCCGAGTGGGTGGAGTCAAATTTCTCGTGGTCCAATGCCTAAGCCAATACCTTCTCACATGCTGTAATCAATAAAGTTGTGGCCTTTTCTTGCCCATTAACCTAATATGCTGTGTCCACGTGTCTTCATTCCCCAAGCGGGGATTGGGTCCTCAAATCACAAACATGTTTGTTTAAGCCAAGGGTAACCAAGGTTGTGTCCTCAATATGCTGTTGGGACTACAACTCCCATCATCCCTTACCTTTAGCAGGATGGATGGGGCAGATGAGAGCTGGAATGCTACAACTTCTAGAAGGTGGACACCACAGCAACCACCCCGATTTAATCATTTCCAGTTAGAATCAGGATAATCTAGAAGTTTATATTTTAAATAATATCTTTGATTTTTTTTATTGTTGCGACTCACCCTAAGCAGGAGGGGCTGTACTTTCTAGAAACCTAGGCAATGTTAGAAATTATCTCACTGTCCTCTGAAACACTTACGTCATAGAATTGTAGAGTTGGAAAGGATGCTGAAGTCTCTGCATTTTATTCCAGTTCCTTCATTCAACATTGTTAATAAAATAGTAATAAAGCACAAAGTCCTTCCCAAATAGTTCTAACTTAGTATGTCTCCATTCGAAGGGTTCCAGCTCTGGTTAAGTGGAGAAGGATGAGCAAATAGATTTGACCTTCAACTGATAGAAAAAAGCAACAATGGAGCATAATAAGCAGAACCACACTTGATCTACAAAGAACAAGGAGGAAAGGTTACCCAATCAAATCAGCTTTCATTAGCATCACAAAAGGTTTTTCAAGAGTTTCTAAATAACATCTAGTGTTGGCTCACCTATCTGAGCGTATTTCACTCTAGTTGAAGGCTTCTTTTTTGAAGTTTCTCACTATATTATTTCAAACAAAGATCTAAGAGTTTCCGTGTTAAAAGCTGCTCTTTCATGCCAAATGTTTCCAATAGCCAATTCTCACTGCAGCCTTCATTAGAGAAATTAAGCAAGTTTTAATTTTTTACACAAGTGCCTGCATGAATTTGCCATTTGCTTGTTAGCACGTTATCTCAAGAAAAAGGAAGTGTGTGTAATATTTATCGTGAAAAATAGGCACGACTGTACATGGAAAATAAATTACTCAGGCTAGAGAAAATATTTTCCCTCTTTAAGAACATTTGCTGCCTTCTGTCCTTCTGAGAGCTGGAGAAGGTTTCACTCCATTATGTGCAAACATGGAACTACATATGAGGGGCTACACAGAGACCACAATGAAGAACTGAATATGCTTCTTGACTGTAACTCCAGCATGCACCAAAATAGCCTAATACATTGGTACCTCGGGTTAAGTACTTAATTCGTTCTGGAGGTCCGTTCTTAACCTGAAACTGTTCTTAACCTGAAGCACCACTTTAGCTAATGGGGCCTCCTGCTGCCGCCGCGCCGCCGGAGCACGATTTCTGTTCTCATCCTGAAGCAAAGTTCTTAACATGAAGCACAATTTCTGGGTTAGCGGAGTCTGTAACCTGAAGCGTATATAACCTGAAGCATATGTAACCTGAGATACCACTGTATTTACATGGAAACAAGTTCCATTTAAATTAAAAGGATTTAAATTCAAGTACATGTGTTCATTATTACTGAGTTTCTACTGTTGGTCTAAAGACTGCACATTATCTTCAGAGTTCTACTTAAGCAAGTACCATGCACCAGCCAGATTTGCAGGGCACGGAGACTAAAATGAAAGGGGAAGTGTGAGAATTATTGATATGCTTTGGAAAAAGACTGAATGCAGCTCCCTTTGTGTTGCTGAAAGGTGACCTTTCCCCAGAACCAATTAAAATTATGAAATGCTCCAAGAAGGTAAAGCCGTATTTGTCATTGCCTTTAGCATGGCGCATTGTAACAACTGTCATAGCAAACGGGCTTCTGATACCGGGGCTTTAATTGCAAAGCTTAATACATGTATGTTAATATGCAACGCAAGCGCTTCTCAGCAGGTGTTCTATGTGATGAAGTTAGCTTCATGAATAATTCATCACAAGAGCCACTTCTGCCGAGATACAATTTGCAATGTTTTTCAAGTGAGATCAGTGAAAATCAGGAGCTGTCATTGCCAATTTGTTTCAGTCCAGATTCAGAAGGTCACACCCTTGACACGCAACAGAGGTTAAAAATGCCCTTTTCTTCTTTTACATGTCAGCCATCATATATACTTTTATTTCCACCCTTGCCTCCCTAGAACTTAGAATGCCTGGTATTATCTGGACAGTTCACACCCAAAAAAACAAGCTCATGAAAAGCAGAGCTTTCTGTCAAATTTGAATACATTTTTGCTTCTCCTGTTCACAAATATGTATTCCTGCTCTGAATCATGAAGTTAAACCAGATCCCCGAAACATCTTATATTTGGCCCAGTTCATTTATAATGTCAAGTTTGCATATTCCACCCTTCCCTCTCCCCCTCTGGCACAGCCACAGAGTGGAGATTGGAAGCATCCACTTCCTGTGATTTATCATTATGCCCATAGAGAATAAACTCTTGTTCGTATAAACTACAGTTTACTTATAACAGGCAAGGATGAAATGATAGTTCATGATTCCAGTGTTTCATTAAACCATAGTAGATGTTAAACAGGAAGCAGAGGCTTGAAACCTTCACATGGTCACCCAGGAGGGAGTGTGGAAAAGCCTGAGACTCAAGCAAACACATCTGCATAACATGAAATTATGGTTTAGTGTTGCCTCCAAACAAGCCCATGCCATATTAAAATGGAGGATTCTACCTCATCCATCAGGTTTTTCTTATTTTGCTATTAAACAGTATTCACAACCTAGAGATACATTTCCAAAATTTGTTTAAATTTAGACATAAAATGTACAGTGGTACTTCGGGTTAAGTACTTAATTCATTCCGGAGGTCCATTTTTAACCTGAAACGGTTCTTAACCTGAAGCACCACTTCAGATAATGGGGCCTCCTGCTGCCGCCCGGCCACCGGAGCACGATTTCTGTTCTCATCCTGAAGCAAAGTTCTTAACCAGAGGTACTATTTCTGGGTTAGCGGAGTCTGTAACCTGAAACGTATGTAACCTGAAGCAAATGTAACCCGAGGTACCACTGTATAGAGATACAAAAATTGTGAACGTCTTCACTGCGGAGAATAAGAGGGATGCAGAAAAGAGTCACTTTGTGTCTCTTAATATTTTCTCATCTTCTGATTTGACTAGCACCAGTTCTTTATTTATACTTCTGCCAAGCATGTCTTTGTCCTCAGCCAGTGGTGGTAGTGTTCCTTTATGAAACCATTGCTCAGTGGTGGCTGATGAAATATGGCATGGCAAATATGGTTGAATCCAACACATCATACTTAGCATCCCATTGTACACAAGAGCACACAAAAATCTTATCAGGCAACACTGTGGCAATAATTCAGAAAACAGAAGACTGTCAATATACAGACATTGATTTGGTGCCAAGCCAGTACAGAAGTTTATCATTGCACTTGCAGCCCCAGAGCTACGCTGAGAAATGCTCTTGAACAAGATGCCTAACTTACCCTCCTCATGTCATGTGGTATCCAGCATATTCATGCTGGCATCACAACAAAGTTCTGACTGGGATATCTAAAAGCAGATTATCTTTTTGTATATTCTTTTGCACTTAGATATGTCTTGTGCAGTAATAATGTAAAAAAGAGTTATACTTGCATAAGTCACTTTTTTTTTTGTTCTAGTCAAAATGTTATTCTGTAAAGGCAAATAGCTCTGCCTTTAATTGAGCATCCCTTGATGGAAATCAATATCCCCTCGAGTATACTTTTAATCATATGGGATTTTAGTCATTAACCAGTCTGAAAGCAAGAGGGGCAAATGATTCATACTCATGCTAATTAATTTTAATATTTTAAGGAAGAAAAAAAGACAGTCAAAGTAAAAGTCGGGGAAGAAATGAAGCATTCTTCCTTGTATTTCGATTCATTAAGTCCTTACCACATATCTAAGATTTAAATTTTCTATTTTGCCATAGCAGACGTCCAAAAGGGTAATTGGCTGTGTAACAAGGTTCCCTCCCATAGTCCAAGGCAATGCAAGTTTTGACAGATCAGAAATCTGAAAAAGAGGGACGGTAGGAAATAATTTTTAAAACAGTTACATCGATTAAGTTTGTGTTTCATAGCTAAACCCTCTCAAAGTTTAGTTCATCTCAGTTTACAAAAATGTACATTTTAATAAATAGTTCTTACCTTCAAGAAATCAAAGTACTTTCTCATTTGTCTGTTACTTTCAATAATCAGATCTAGCCAATTTCTAAGCTTCTGACAGAGCACTGGAGAGGTGGAATTCCTATGGATAGGATTCCCTTTTTGTGTAAGGTTGTCACCAAAAGAATTGCAGTAGCCTAACAAACCCTAGACTGACCAGCTGTTGAGGGATAGCCCAGGGGATAGAGACTTCAACCAAACTTTGTAAAATGTCCTTATAGAACTTAAGATTTAGCTTAATAACATGCAGTCTAGCATCTGAGGAAGTTTTTACCAAGAAATTCCAAAGATGTCTATTTTTAAAATCTAGTAGTGAGTTCATAGCATAAACAAGATAGGAACCAGGAACTACCAATACATAGCTCCATATCTTAGCCATCTTGTTGCAGAAGTTCTCAGTAACAGGAACACAGGAAGTTCCGTTATACTGAATCAGATCATTCATCCATCTAGCTAGCTCAATATTGTCTATGCTGACTGGGCAACTCCCCCATGTTTCAGACAGGAGTCTCTTCCCCTACTAGTTGGAAATGCCAGGGATCGACTATGGGACCTTCTACATGTGAAACATATGCTCTACTACTAAGCTGTAGCCCTTCCCTGAAAATAGTAAAAGAAGAAGAAGAAGCAGTTGCCACAAATCCCTATTTTTCTTATCCCTATTCAAAAAGAAATCTTTGGATACTGAACTGATAAAGGAGAAAGGCGTTCATGGAACATGTGGCTTATTATTCTGTTGCTATTCCATGAAGCTCTTAACTTGTTCAAGTCTGGAGTAGCTCAGAGGCTCCCCAAATAAACTACAAGGCCAAAGCCAAGAGACGGCTTAACTGTTAGTAGTGTAAACTATGGTTTATTGAAACAGGCTAGGATCAACTTAGAGTTCATGATTCTCACAAGGATTACAAGCGATACAGTTGGTGCCTCCAGCCTTAATGATCATATCTTATTGCAGCTCACTCACTTAGGATATCACAACATGGAATATATTATGTTTCTCACTAAATAAACAACAGGTTTGGATGCCCAGTGAAAGCTCTTAGGGTCTCAGATGTTTTAAATAAAAAATGGAACCCTAACACTTCTACAGCACCTGTTGCCAACAGAAGGTGAAATCACAAATGGGATATGCTAATTTATGATTTCACCTTCAGCTGGCCCTAGATGCTAAAGTAGGTTCCACTGTGCCTTGCTGGGGTGCATGACTTTGAGTAGGCTGTTTTACTGTGGCAAAGAAGATGCACAGTTGGTCGTGGTTGGATGCCAAAGAGCAAGATACCAAGCAAAACAACACAAGCACAAGATGTAATGGCAATATAAAGCTCTTTGTGCTGTAACATGTGCAACCCCAAAAGGTCATCATAAGAATGCAATGATTTAGAATTTAAAATTGGGTCAAAGTGGCCACAACACTGCAACTTAATAAAAGCAAAAACAAAAGTGTAGATAAAATTCCCAGTGGAAACTGTGTTAATCTCAATATATATATGCTTGCCCTAGTTCATGAAAATAATCAATGCAAGAACCTTTATTGCAAAAATAAGAGAATGTTTATTACAAGGGCAGTCAAATCCTGAGATCACAGAGACTTACTAATGACGATGCTACAAGGGCAATTTAAGCATTCTAATTCTTGCACCTGCCCCCCTCATTTAACCTGCTGCCCACTGACTATATTAGGAGTACCATATGCAACTGTACATTTCTCAATATGGAGCAAATCAGTTTTGAATTAACAACTGTAATGCAGGACATGGTACAACAGCAGCTCTCATAAGAAGCCAGGCCCCTCCTATGAGATACATATTAATGAGTCACTCATGTGTACCAGGCTATCCATATACACCAAGAGAGTGGGGATGAAGCCTCAATGGCTTCTTGAACCATTTTTGATTTTTTGGTTTTTTTAAAAGACAAACACATTGTTCAGAACACAATAGTAATCTTTTTTTCTGAAATGGACCTGACATTGAGGCATGGTTTTGTGGATCTGAAATCAGCTGTCCAGCTTCTTTGTTGAATTAAAGCATCTAGCCATTGGCAGCTAGGGCTGGGCGATACCTGGTTTTCAACATTGTGATATATCAGCAGCTAAATACCACGATACGTTGATATATCATGATGTCTGGAATGCATCTCGGCTGCTTCTTCCTCCCCACCTTAGCTGAGCAAGCCCTGATGCCTCTCCAGCTCACAGGAGCCAGAAGAACAGGATGGGGCTTCCTAAAAAGGTGCAGGCAGGCAGGATGGAGTCTGAGACGGTGCTCGCCTGGAACCTTCTCTTCTCAGGCTCCTTCTGCCTGCCTGCCTGCCTGCCTGCCTGCTTGCCCCCTTTGCCATCTGCATGCAATTTGAGCTGGTGCAATGTATTTCCAGCTCAGATTGTCTGAAACCGGTATCGCAAACCTGAATGCCATGCTGCTTTCAGACAATTTACCAATATATTGCCCAGTTCCAATGGCAGCCAGAAAAGGTTGTGACTACAGATCGGCCAATGCATCAGGAGTATTGAATGCATAAAACAGGCCTGCACACAAGTCCTACCAAATGCTATACCCTTGGGTAGATGTCTGGGGTTATCAGAAGCAAGGCAGGAACTTCATGAGAACACGGAACAGATCCAGGAATAGGTATCATCTGGTCTGGCCCTTTATAGTCAGAAGTTCCAGAACAAGTCCAAAGCTATTGGATTGCTTCTTAAATATAAAAATCACCAAATTCCACTGCCCAAGTGATTATTCCAAGGGGAAAAAACTATTGCTGCTGTGGGTAGGCATATGGAGCATTGGTTTCTCAAGCTGCGTTTACCTGGCCAATGTAAGTGGAACATATGCTTCTATTGTGTTTTATTTTGCTTCTGCCCGCGGAACTGGAATTAGTTGCTATGTGACTGCCTGACAGTCATTATGCTAGCCAGTATGAATCAGGGCAAGTGAAACTCAAACCTTGAAGACAACCACATTGTCAACTCAGAGCCGTAACTATGGCAACAGCCATGCTGCTTCAAGGGGATAAAGAAAGACAAAATAATATATCTGATATACTATTACTGTAGAAAATAAAATAAAAGATTTAAAAGATGGTTGGATCAACTCCCTAAATTCATGGCAAAGTGTACTTTTTGTAACTAACAATTTTGATCACTTCATTATTATTTTAATTAAAAATTTCCCCCCACCCAAACACACCATTGTAGGTTTGAGTATTTCCAAACCTAATATTTCCAACTGAGTCATATTCTCTGTAATTCTAATGAAATAAATAGACTAACATCATAAGTCCATTGGTATCAATGGGTTTACTCTAAGCATGGCTAATGTTGGATATCAGCCCTATTATGTGATAGGAAATATGGCATGCTGTGTTTTTGTAGTACCTTTTCTTTGTAGACTCATTTAATAAAGTGGTATTTACTTTAAAACTCATTAGGATAATTTGTTACCGACTAATCATCTTTGCTACTGTCGCTAGGTCCACTGATGTCCATGATGACTTTTTTGTCTTTGATTTTTTGAAAAACAAGAACTTCAGTCATGAAAATGCCTGAATAATAACAGCATGTAGAAAATGATTATACCTGATTTAAAAGTTCAGGCAAAGTGGCAGTAAAAAAATGCTGTTATAAAGGAGAAAAATACATTATGGATGAACAGGCCTCAGAGAAGTTCAGCTGTGGGTGACGAGCAAGATAACCAGAGCTCACTGCAACAAAAATCAAGAGGATTTCTGTACCCCAGAAAGGCAAGGATATTGCCAAGCGCTAGTTATGAGGGTTGGGGAAAACTGCAGAAAAGCTGGGAGATGAAGGTGAAACCCAAAGATGCACTTTCAGCTAGCCCAGGGGCTTGGGCTTATCCAATTGATTTTTTACTTTTATTCTTTAAACAACACCCCACCCAGACACCTGCCCACAATACAGTAACAAACTGCCTGCTTAATTTTTCATAGGAACTAGTTTCAAACCTTCCTGGGAGCTAGTACCCAAATGAGGTTCCAGTTGCCACCTTCAAGACTGCCCACCTCAGGTTGCAACTGTGGCTATGCCACTGTCACTGCACCCCTTTCCATTCACCACTTGGGTCAAGAGAGGAGAGGAAAGAAGTCTTCAGAAGCTCTCTGCTTGTTCAGACCTACCCAGCTACAGGCTTTCACTCCTAATACTGCATTCTGTACACCAGTCGTCTCTCCCCCCGCCCCGTCCTGTGTTGCTGACATTCTGTTACATCTGTACCAGACGTTCCTCTGAGCTCGGGTTTGAATAACTGTCTAATAACCAAGATACAGATTCTCTGTTTTCAGCACACAGAACTACATATACGTACATCACAAGAACAATTATATACAAATTAGTCCACAATCTAGCCTCTTCTTTTATGTATAGCTACATTTTTAAAAAAAAAACACCTAAATTTAACATTCAAAGCACAGTTATCCTAGCCTACACTTAATTAGGCTGGAGTTCTCTGTATCTCTCTATTAGACATAAGCTAAAAATGTGTATCACCTTAATCATTTTCCATCCTATACTTCTGAAGAAAGACTGGCTTCTGTAAAATGATTTTATAGAATTTAATTTATTTCCATTCTCACCCTTTCCTATAGGCTCACTAACATCTACAGTCTCCATTTTCTTTTTCTAATTGAGTTTTTGGGTGCATTTGAGATATGAGAGATTCTAATACACCGAGAAGTGATATTACACCAAATTAACCTACACAAGAACCATCAGGCATTTCCTGCTGCTTCTTGAAGAATTCAATTACTTTGACACAGACTATGAAAAAGTGATTTCCAGTATAGGACAAGAGTAAACTGAGCTGGGTTTCCTGAAAGAAATCTAGATTTTTCTTTTTGAAAACAACAACAGTTGTTCCTGCTTGATTGACAGCAGAGAAATGAAAAATTGTCAGGCTAGAAAGGCTAAAGTTTATGTGTTGTACTATGATAAACTATAAAACTTTTAACAGGAAAAAGCACAATGTAAGCAAGGAACAAAAATGGGCTCTCTCCAAAACCATTTCATAAGGCTATCTAATTAAGATTTATATTAAAAATATTTCCTGTTTTTTTTGCCTTCTGTATTCTTTATTTCACTTTTCTTTACCACATTTCTATCCCTTCCTTTAAGACAGGGCCTGGGAACTTGTGACTCTTATTGGTTACAGCTCCAATCATCCCTGACCATAGGCCATGCTGGCTGGAGCTGATGGGAGTTGTGATCCAACAATTCCTGGAGAGCCACAGGTTCCACACCAACAGTGTTTCTTGGAGCTGTGTATATGGGAGCTATCCAATTTCATCCTCAAAACAACCATAGTAGCCTAGGATGAGATAGTGATTGATCCCAATCCACTCAACAAAAAATATTTATTTGCCAACTAATTTTCAGCCCTCTGGATCAAACCATAGTCTGGTAGTCTGGGCACAATGTCCAAACAGATGCCTATGGGAAGCCCACAAAGAGGACACTACAAAATGAATAGATTTCTTTTTGTATTTCCTTGCTTGCAAGGACACTATGCAAGATAATCCCCTATAGGTGGTCTGGATTATGGGCTACATGCTCAGAAATGCAGTAAAGGGCAACTGAAATGATCAAGCAACTAGAGAAAAAATTTCAGCATTCAGCTGTTTTAGTTTGGCAAAAAAGGCAAGGTAAAGGAAACAGAATATTTATTTATAGACTGCTTAATGTAAAATAATATAAAACCTTCTTAAGCAGCTTTGAAATGGTAAAAAGGACCAATTACGGGAGGGCTAGGCTGTCAGTGGGACGCGGGTGGTGCTGTGGGTTAAAAGCCTCAGCGCCTTAGGGCTGCGATCGAAAGGTCGGCGGTTCGAATTCCCTGCGGCGGGGCGCTTCCCTGGTTGCCCAGGCCTGCCAACCTAGCCAGTTCGAAAGCACATCCAAAGTTAAACAAGAGTAGATAAATAGGGACCGCTTACTAGCGGAAGGTAAAACGGCTTTTCCGTGTGCAGCTCTGGCTCGTCAGTGCAGCTTGTCAACCGCTGTCCACGTGACCCGAAGTGTCTCGAAGCGCTGCCCCGCCTTCTATGAGTGAGATGGCGCACAACCCTAGAGTCATGTCAAGACTGGCCCGACGGGCAGGTCCTACCTACCTACCAAGGCTGTAGTGCTGCTAACCACATTGGCTATGTCCTCCCTCTACTGTTACCAGGGCAAGCCTGCTTTGAGTTTTTACAGCTCACTCTTTATTAATATTATCAGTAGTAGTAAGTAGGGTAGTAGTAATAGTAGTAGTAGTACGTATACTCCACCCTTCATCTGCTCCAGAGGTCAGGCAACCCTCCAGAACAACAGGGAGCTTCAGGGAGGAAGTAGAGGAAGGGGTAATTCTAGCTGGATGAGGGAAAGGTAGGAAATCACACATTTAAAAAATCATTAACAATATACAAATATAAACCTGATGTTGTCATAACTTACCTGCTGGTTTCTTTGAAGTTTTACTCTCATTGCTTCACATATCTCGATTAATTGAAGAAGTTCTGGACGTGGAATGGTTACTTCAGTTGCAGTTCCTTCAGCGCTGAGAAAAAAACTGTGTAAAGTACAATGCATTATTATAGTCACATTTTTCACTTTTTAATACCGTAAAGAAAAACACGGATTGTATTCATTATTTGCATGCTTTTTATAATAGTGCTGATTTTGCAAGTGAAATAGGCACTAACAAAGAATTCAAAGAGCATATTTATATAGCCAGTGAATACCAATTATGAAAGCATGCTTTCAAAACATAAAGGTAAAGGGACCCCTGACCATTAGGTCCAGTCGTGGCCGACTCTGGGGTTGCGGCGCTCATCTCGCTTTATTGGCCGAGGGAGCGAGCGTACAGCTTCTGGGTCATGTGGCCAGCATGACTAAGCCACTTCTGGAGAACCAAAACAGCTGTTTACCTTTCCACCAGAGCGGTACCTATTTATCTACTTGCACTTTGACGTGCTTTCGAACTGCTAGGTTGGCAGGAGCAGGGACCAAGCAACGGGAGCTCACCCCGTCGCGGGGATTCAAACCACCGACCTTGTGATCAGCAAGTCCTAGGCTCTGTGCTTTAACCCACAGCGCCACCCGCGTCCCTTTTCAAAACATACCTCACTGCTATTTAAGTTATCTCCTTGAGCCTTTGCAATAGTTAAGAAATGTATTTTCCTTTAGTGTCAAGCATATTTTACCACTATATGCTAGCATACCTATACTAATCGGAAATAAAAATACCCCAGTATCTTGAAGAATAGTTCCCTTGGCCAAGATGCAAAGAGATGTGGGCAACTAGGAGAGGCAGCAATTTACCACCACCAATGGACTGCGTTCCCCCCACCTCACACACACAAATACCAACACAAGAAATGCAATAATTTACTGCATAGTAAATTAATCTGGAGGATTCCCACCCCCTAAACCTCAAGTGCAGCTTTTAAGGGAGCAATAGGAGATTTAAAAAACTACAGTGCACCACAAAAATGCAGTCCTTGACATCCCAATCCTCGCTTTCTGCATTTCAGAATGATGTTTTTGTTGCTGTGATTATTATTAATGTTTCTTTTTTTGTAACTGCAGCAAAACAAGTTTTGGAAACATGAAATACACTAAGAAAATTATCCACCAGTTATTTATTTTTAAACACAACAACCTGCAACACACCTAAAACTCATTTTCTTCTTTTCTCTCCCCTCTCCAATTAATTTTTAAATGCAGCGTAGGGAAACAGCCCTAAAAAGCTAGGGATCATGGTAACTTAAGGACCACCTTCGCCAATATGAACCTGCCTGCTCATGTCCATCAAAGCCCTGCTCTGCACCCCCTTTATTTTAAAACGTAGGTGAATGAGGGCACAAGACAGAGCCTTCTCAGCAAGTGGGCTCAGGATCTGGAATTTCCTGCAGCCAAAGGTTTACTCTCAGACTATATTCAAAAATATAAAAAATAGAGTAGAAGCTTCAAATAATTCCCATTGTGTGCATTGTTCTCCTTTCACTCATACCTTTGTCAGATAATGCTCACAGAAATCAAATATGTGAGTTGTGCTTAAATGGCAAGCCTCTCAGCCATCCAAAGAACAAGCAAAACTGAATAAATTGTCCCATTTATTACAAAAGGTTTTTACTACATATCATTTTAGGATTTGCAGTAATGAAACTTGACAACCCGCATTTAAGTTCTTATTCATAGATCATTGTTTTCTCCATTCATCCCCACACCCTACTCCTTATTTTGCATGCTGACCACTTAGTGGACCGGACCTCCCAGCCCCCCTTTTCCCTCAGTAAGCCCCATTCATTCCCAGACTTTTAGCAAAGGGGGAAAATATGAAGAAAGGCAAAAGGGAAACTGGGGCAGGAGGGCAGGATAAGGACTCAATTGTCATCAAAACACCGAAGGAACGGTGACCACGTACCTCAATTCTGTGGGTCACTTTTGACACAAGTTTAAGGATCTGTGCAGTAAGAGATACCATTCATTCATAAATATATATATATATATATATATATGCTTTCGTAGATTTTCACGGGTACAGGAATGCAGGTTTTGGTGTCCTCGGGTGTCTTCCCGTGTAAAAGTTGGGGTGTCTAGGCGACGTTTCGACGAGGTCTCACTCGTCATCTTCAGGCTGGTGCTTTCGGCTTCTTGTTACTGGAACAGAGCAGGATCTCAGTGTTTGAGTTCCTATAAATACTGTTGAGGAGGTGTGGTGTATAGCCTCCAATGTTCTGGGCAGAGAGGAAGTTCCCAGGCTAGTGTGCCTTTTCTTCTTTTGTTCCTTAATTACTTGAGGGATATCTGAGTGATTTCTTGAGTGATATCCTGAGTACCACTTAGGTGGGTCATTAGGTGTGGATTAGTTGCTAAAGCCTTCGTGTCTTGACCTCTTGAACTTGGCTTGAACTTGGCTCTGGCTTGGCTTCGTGTATAGGGGCGAGCTGTGGTTTTGTGGCCTTGTGCCAGCCAGATCTGTGTAGGGATTGCAGGGGGGTGCAGCATCCGGAGGTTCCACCATGGTTTGGCTACTGGATGGTGTCTGTAATTTATCTGTGGAGAGGGTCTGGGTTTGGGTCTGGTGTGGTTGATTGGGGATGGCGTTCTGTGTGCCTCTGGATCTGGTGTCGGTTTTTGTGGGGAGGGCTAATTTCCAGATGTCTGGCAAGGCGGGATGTGTCGTCACGCTTGTTCATGTTGTGAGGGTGTTTCTCTATCTCGATGGCTTCCATGATTATTCTCTTGTGGTGATGTTCCATGTTAAAGAGCAATTTGGAGTCTGCAAAATTAATTTCGTGTCCTGTTTCTTTCATGTGTTGGAAAAGAGAGGAAGTTTTTTCCTCTTTTTTGACGGCATTCTTGTGTTCTGCGATGCGTGCATTTATTCGTCTGTTTGTTTGTCCAATGTACGTGGCTGGGCAGACTTTGCAGGGTATTTCATAGACCCCTTGGTTTTCCAACTGGATTTTATCCTTGGGGTTTCTGAGGATATTGGCTATTTTTTGGTTGGTGCAAAAGGCTGTTTTGATATTGTGTTTATGGAGGATTTTGCTAATTTTATCTGTAGTGCCCTTGATATAAGGAAGGAGGGCCATGCCATTGTTTTCTTCTGTGTCTTGGTTTTTGGGGGGTGTTTCTTTTTGGATTAGCTTCGTAACCCTGTTTTGCTGGTATCCATTGGCGATTAACACATTTGAGAGATTCTGTAACTCAGTTGTCAAGTGGTCTTTGTCAGCCAGGCGTTTGGTTCTGGAGATGAGAGTCTTGGCTACGGAGTTTATTTGTGCAGGGTGGTGGTGTGATTGTGCATGTAAGTAGCGGTTGGTGTGTGTTTTTTTCCGGTAGATAGTGTGTCCTAGGGAGCCATCAGGTTTTTTGTAGATTAGGACGTCAAGGAAGGGAAGTTGGTTGTTGGCTTCTATTTCCATAGTGAATTGTATTTTGGGGTGTAGGCTGTTGAGATGTGTGAGGAAGCTATCTAGTTTTTCCTTCCCGTGTGGCCAAATTACAAAGGTGTCGTCAACATATCTGAGCCAAAGTTTGGGTTTGTGTTCTGACTTGTCTAAAGCATTGGTTTCAAAGTGTTCCATGTACAGGTTAGCGATGACCGGTGAGAGGGGTGATCCCATAGGTGCTCCTTCTATCTGTTTGTATCTTTGTCCATTGTGGATGAAGTACGTGTTGGTTAGGCAGTGTTTGGTCAGGTCCAGGATGTATTCGGGGGATTGTATTTGTTTTGAATGGCTGTCAAGGCTTCATTAATGGGCACTTGTGTGAAGAGAGATACAACATCGAAGCTCACAAGTAGGTCATTGGGATGTAGGTTTTGCTTCTTTATTGTTTCTATGAACTGGAAGGAGTTTGTAACGTGTGAAGAGATGGATTCTGCATAGGGCTGAAGTTGCTTAGCGAGAAATTTAGCGAGATTTTGTAGAGGTGAGCCTATGGAGCTGACTATTGGTCTGAGTGGTGTTCCTTCTTTGTGTATCTTGGGGAGGCCGTAGAGTTTGGGGCATCTGGATGATTTTTCTCTGGGGATGATTCTTAGCTGGATTTCTTCACTGATAGGAGAGGCTTTTATTTTGGATTTGGTGGTTTTTTCCAGATAGGTGGTGGGATCTGTTTTTATAGGTTGGTAGGTAGGGTCTTGGAGTAGATTTGATAGTTTTGCTTGGTAGTCCGATGTGTTCATCACAACAGTGGCATTACCTTTGTCTGCTGGGAGAATGATTATGTTGTTGTCCTTCCTCAGGTTGGTGAGTGCTTTCTGTTCTTCTTTGTGTAAATTGCTTCTGGGTGGTTTGCTGGAGCAGAGGATGTTGGTGACTTCAAGTCTGATTTTATTGGCTTCATCTGGGTTGATTTTGGTTAGGCTAGCTTCGACTCCGCATATGATGTTTTCCGTGGGGATGCGTCTCGGGGCGACTGCAAAGACTGCACACACACACACATACATACATACATACATACACAGGACCCCATAATCCTCTAATCCTCAACACAACACAGATGCTGGTCACCATTTTATTCAGGTTATCTCCTTCTGGATCAACTTCATTCACAATATCAAATGTCTCTCTACTGCTTACCTAAGCTTGTCAGTAAGTGCTTCTAAAGAATTGTTTGACTGCAACATAAGAGCAGCTCGAGAACTTAATCCTTCTGTAAGCAGCAGCACCTGTGGAAGAAGTCATACACAAAATTATTCCTAAAATCACCTCAGTTTCTCTTTCCTCTTTGTTAAAATCTTACTTTAAAAAAAAATGAAGTTACATTATGGTGACAACTGGCAAAAGAAAAATGATGTTTAAATGGAAGGTGTGTGTTGACTGTACAGTGGGAGAGTGGAGGACTATCTGCAACTGTGTGCCTGCGCTCTGTTTTTGCCCTTGGTGATTTATGTGTCTTTCACTTGGTTTCTTTGGGTTCGACTTTTTGTGTTCAATGCTTCATATAACCTTCTGGTCTACTTTGCCCAATTCTACATACTGAACCTTCTATATATGCACCCCGGTATCTATTTCAGGCTGAAATCTCCATAATGTCTGGGTCTAGCTTCAGTAGAAACAAATCAAGTGAACTAATGAAATATTCCATGCAAAACAATAATCGCCCAGATTACAGCACACCCCTAGCAGAGGGAAACCATGTGGACAAGGACCCAAAGATGGGTATCCTCAAATACGGGGGATTTCCCCCTAAAATTGTCAATATTGGAACAGAATTGCTATGCAGGCACATTCATCTCTGCCTTCTTTAATCAATTCCTATGCAACTCCACTTGAACTTCCTTAGTGGTGGGTCCTGTTTACATACCCTCCTTTTAATCTCACGCCCACACTGCATGCAAACCTTTTAAGTTTGTGCATTTGACCCAAATACCCCTTTAAAATGTGCACTCCCCTCAATTAGAGCTTTACACTTACTTTCTAATATACATTTTAACAAGGTGTATTTTACAAAAAGTTAAGAAACTCTCAACTACTCCCTCTCTCATCCCACTACCAACCAAGCCCTCAATCAAATTATCAATGTATGTTGGTAGGTTAGGGAAAAGAATGTGAAGTGAACACCACCACCCCACACACACACAGCTCCAGGAAATCTGAATGCCTATTTTTGAAGGGGGGGAAAGCCCTTTTCACAGTCTCATATATATGCTGATAACTTTCAAAAAGTACTCTGGTGAATTTTGTATACCACTTTACCTGCCTTTCCAGCTGTAGTACTTGGGCCTTCAGAAAACTAACACGTCTTTCCTCAAAGCATTCATTCTTCCCTTCCTTTATGAGCTGCTCATATTGGCTTCTAAGAAATAAAATGTATTTCCTTGTAAAGAATGTCGAACAAACACATAATGCTACATTGATATTTAATAAGTACAATTTATTGGAACAACTGGAAATGATGTTAAATGCAGAAAAGAGATTTCTTTTTGTCTCCTGCTTTTAGCCAATTATTCCAAAACCCTGTTATTTTTCTGAAAATTGCCTTCTATCTGTTTTATTGTACTACAAATAACTTATTGCCTTGAAAAGCCTTAAATGTTTCTGAAGTATCTGTTCATTTCTCACCACCTCCATGCGGGAAGCAACTCTGAATACACAAATACTAACTACTTTTGTCCTCAAATACATGCTGGCAAAGAAATGAGCAGCTATATAAATCATAGATCAGGGAGATTCAAACCGATTTCTAACATTATGGGCTCACACAAGAACTGAATAACTAATTTTCCTTCTATAAATTTCTCAGTATCCTCTGCCATAATTTTGTCATCCTTAGCTTTCAATACATGACCTCACAGATAAAACAAAAGCTGTTTTCATAAATCTAGGGCTTTGTTATCAATTTCTTTCAGTACCTTAAATCTTCTAATTCATACTTTAATCTTAGATTTTCCTCTTGCAGTTTCTAAGAAGAAATAAAAAATACTATGGTTAAATATACTATTAGGACTTGTAAATAGTATTTTTAAGTTACACAAACAGTAGTTTATATTCATTTATATATAAACATTTGTCACGTATAAATAGAAACGTTTTACACCCAAAAAAAATATTTCAACTAGTATTGTAAACTAAGATTTCAAAGCTATATGAATGTAATCATGACTGAATCACAAATAACTATTATCACAAGCATGTGTTAACAGTTTATAAAGACCATTATTTCATCCCAAAGGGAAAGATTTATATAAAAGAAGTTTAAACTTAATCATCAAAGTTCAACATCATGTATTCCAACTTCCCCTCATGCAACAAAAATTGCTGTCTCCTCCCTGCACCCATACAAATCTGTCCCAGAGGAAGAATGCAGGAAGAAGGGAATTCCCATTGCAGTACAGAAATCCATTCTACTTGTACACTACAGATACCATTGGATTTCACCCAATAGGAGGAAATAAAACATGAAGGGTGAGCCACAAACTGGAGAAATATGGCATATATGGTGAAATAAAAAATAACACCATAAAGCACCATCTAAAAAGATTTGTTGAAGACCTCAGTGTTACTTTAATGTCAATGATAATACCTTATAAAGCAGATACAAATCTGGGTTCTCAGAGAACAATTCATGTATTAAGTTCTTGCAGGGAGAAGACTTGGAAAAGAAGTATAATTAAGTTTTGCCCTAATCCTAATAATTTATAACATCTGCACTTGGATCTCCTTCCATGCACACCAAATATCTCTGCAATCCCATAATATTATGGGTGACATCTAATCCTCCAAGCAGACCTGCTGAAATAAATAGATTTAAGTAACCATTCATTTCAATGGGTCTGAGTACTCCTCAGTAGGATCTCACCCTATGTTTTAAGAACCCAGCTGAAACGCAACTCATCTGAAAATACTACTTTGCTAAAATATCAAGCCCTGTTGCTTTTTTATGCAAAAAAACCTGTATACAAATACAACCTTTTTTCTTTTTTACCTTTTGCTCACTCCTGTTCATAAAAGGAGTGTGAAGTTCATTGTTCTGTTTATCCCCTCTCAACAGTGAATTATCTTGACATGCTGAACCCTGAGGCGTGAGGCTGCTTGCAGGGAGCTTGGCCATGGGCCTTCCAACCTTTAAAATAAACACAGCCACATTTTAATGGTTTTTTAAAAAAATGGACTTCACAAACACAGACATCAACAAAAGTAGGCAACATAAGACAAAACTGTGTAGGTAGCACTTTCAAGCAATTGTACTCCTGAATTTAATAAGGGTTTTCTTTAAAATGACTTGTGTCTCTATTTTTTGCTACAGTTCTTGAAAAATATGTACAGTAAACCTTAATATGCACACATCATTTCAGTTTCAAAATGCAGGCTAGTTATTCTGTTTGTATGTAATAATCTTCTGCTTAGATCAGTGAAAGAATCCTGATAAACGTTTATCTGAAACAATGACTGCTGCAGCGATGAAGGATTACCAACTACAGTGAGCAGGGCTGGATTAACCATTGTGCTAAATAACTTTACTAATGAGCCCCACCAGCATAAATGTATTATGGTTTCTTCAATATGAAGAATATTATGCTCATCCCATCTTGCACTGAGTTCTTTTGTTAACATCATTCTACAATTTACTAAGCAGACAAGCCGTAGCCACATCCACGGTGATAGGAAAACTGAGAATAATGAGAATAATCTCTTCTAACAAGATCACAAAAAAGGAGTGAGAAAGCCTATGGATGTGCATTCATCTATTACAGATTAACAAAGTATCGTTTAATTCTCCTTTTATGTCCCTAAAGTAGTGGTTTTGAAATTGGATTCCTCAAAAACATAGAAGGCTCCTCAATCAGAAGATGTATAATTGCTATTTATTTATTTTAAGGTATTCCTAGGATGCTTTTCTGGAGAATGCCCTTCCAAAATGGTTTAAAATTGTAATAAACAACATGAAGGAAAAAGTGACACAGCAAAAGATAAAAAGAAAGCACCCAATTACCTCAGAAAATCAGAAAAGCCAATAAAACATAATTAGAAAATAGCCACAATCAATTATTATTACCTACAAACAGAAAATGATTACAAACAATTAACCATGATTCATTGAAGTCCTGTTGGAAAATACAGTACAGGTCTTTAAGCTTTCCAGAATCCCTGAAAAATGAAAGCTAGTTGCAGGTCTGATACAAGGAAGTTCTTAAGCCATGGGGCCACCTCGGAAAAGGCCCTCTTCCTTGCGGCCACCAGCCTCACTGGCCTAGGGGATGGACACACTAGGAGGGGGTCCCAGTGCAGATCTCAGCATGCAAACAGGATGGTACACATGCAGGAAGTCCAAGAAACAGCTTGAACCCAATGTTTAGGGCCTTAAATGTTACTCTAAACTGGCTGTAGATACGAGCCAGAAACCATTGAAGCCGATACAACAGGGCTCTGGCAGATGTACTCTGGACCAGCTGAAGTTTCCAACCTAGCTTTAAAGGTAGCCCCACATACAGTGCATTACAGTAGTCTAATCTGGATGAGACTAGAGCACGGAGCACTGGGGCTATGGCACATCTCTCTGGACTTGCTGTAGAGCATTTCTCTAAAGTCATTTACCTATTATCTACATGGCTAGGTTCAAGATACTGGTCTTGGTGTATAAAGGCCTATACAGCTTCGGACCAGGACACCTCAAAGACTGTTTCACCCCTATATACCCATTCAATCACTGCACTCTGCAGGTAACGGCCTCATGTTCCACACAATATAGGAATCAGGCCTTTAGCACCAATCTGTTGGAATCTCCTCCCCTTAAATACTGTTGTTGTTTAGTCGTTTAGTTGTGTCCGACTCTTCGTGACCCCATGGACCAGAGCACGCCAGGCACTCCTGTCTTCCACTGCCTCCCGCAGTTTGGTCAAAATACTAGACAAGTGTTATTGGTTATCTTTTTGGTGCCTACTAAAGCCCTTTTTCTTCCAACACAACTTTTAAGTTGAGAGCTTTCTCAGTCTCCATCTGTACTGGTATTGTTTTTAAGAAGCTTTTATTATTGCTTGTTGTTTGCCACCCTGAGCTCCTTGTTGGATATAAATTTATTTATTTATTTCATTTATTATGTGTTTGTTTGCTTGTTTATTAGATTTCTATACCGCCCTTCACTGTAAGATCTCAAGACGGTTCACAGAATAAAATACAGGATAAAAACAAGTTAATTCAACAAATAAACCAATGTTATTTACAATATTCATATCCCACCTTTCTGAATGACAATTGGTCTTCAAGACAAAGAACAATAAATGAAAACTGATACATAACAACTCGATAATAAATTTCTATTTAAAAAGCAGTAGCAATTTATAAAGGCTCATGGGGAGAGCAGGGGAGAGCTCGGAATAAAGCATCTGAGACCTTAAGCTGCTTGTATGACTGTTCCAGCTGCTGGTCTTCAAAGTTGGTACCAGCTGTTTCAGTCTCTGAGAAAACAGTGCATCTCCTTATACAGGCAGCTACAGAGTCTGAAGCTCCTGGCTCTTCCTAGTTGCAGGGAGGTTAAAGAGAGAGGGATGAAAGTGTTTACTTCTCAGGGCAAAATAATCAGGAAAGACTCAAATCTTCACTAGCAAGTTAACCAGCTTAGGGAGACTTAATTTGAATTTTGAGAACTGGAGTCTGAGGAACAGTTATTATCCTTGTAAAGAAAGGACGAAGCATTCAGTATTGTTCAGATGCTGACACGCTTTAGCAAGTAACACAAACCAATCTGACATTTGCACAGTGATCTAAGACATGGAGAATTTAAAGGAGATCAGGACAACAGAAGATTACAAACTTGAATACAGAAAATAATTCAGATTGCTTAGTGACAAGCCCTGCAAGAATCTTGACCAACTGTTGCATTTTATTTTATTTCGCTCGTTATGAGAATGCCTCCATTTTATAAGGGCGCATATTCATTTCCATAAGCTATGTAGGTAGTTCTTCACTGAGGTCTGCATCTATTGTACACTTATGGTAGTGAACACAAATGCCATTGATCCCAGTAGGAAGGCTTGCAGGCATGACACATTCAGTGTCAAACGAAGGTCTCTAATTAGTGAATAGTTCCGGTCTGACAGAAAAGGCCTTAACCTTCCACAGGGAATAATGAGCTAGGCAATGTCTGAAGCACCCAAATAAGCTTCTTTGAACAAGAATGGCACTGAGAACTGCTTTAAATGTGCTAAAATGACAGACATCAGTGACCGAACAGTGAACCGTACACTTGGCAATGAACAGGAAAATGCCTGCTATAGGAAAGGGTCTGGTCTTTGTTTTTTCTCTTGTGCATCTGAACTCGGGACTAAATCTGATAGACCACATTATTTGGTAGACTTATTTAAAACAAAACTAGGAGATTTGTGGAATACAGATAATTGTCTGAAATCTTTGTCCTTTTAACAGTATTTATAATATGAAAGCATGTGGCAACTTCCCTGAACATCATAACAAACTCAGTTTTTAAAGAACATTTATAAAAAGCTCATTAGCAAAGACAAGACTTTAATAGAAGGGTAGCACCAGAAACAGTTTGAATGGCAAGTTATTAACATTGTGACTAAACAAGAGGTAGAAGCTTGAACATGATTCTAACTGTCCAATATGTCGTTAGTCAAATACTGTACATCAAAACATTTAAGAATCTCCACACATATTATTAAGAGCTGAACAACATGTGGAAGGAAGAAAAACATTTAATAAGGAATAAAGCATTCTACCTGCCACAATGCTTTGTGTCGTATAAGTACAATTCAAAGAAAGATACCCTTTGGTGGCGCAGTGGGTCAGCACCTCCAGATGTTAATCAGAAGGTTGGTGATTCAAGCCCACCCAGGGACAGCTGTGGGCAGGATTCCTGCATTGCAGGGGTTGGAGTAGATGACTCTCAGGATCCCTTCCAACTCTACGAGGTACCATACGCCAACACTATCCAAACCTGCAAAGTATGGCCCAACGTTCAGGGTGTGTTCTAATTGGCTTCAGATTGTGGTTTGGCCAGAGTGAAACAAATGATGCTCTCGATTTCAAATGCAAAGGTAAGCCAAGGATGATGGTCTGATGCTCCCACTCACTAGCAGAGAGAAGTGAAGGGAGAGCAACCTGTGCATTCAAGGTAAGCTAGCAACCTTCACTTACCATGACATGTGACTGCAGCCAAAACCAGTTCACTTTGGATGTCAAAGTGAGGCAGCCTCAGAACCAGGCCTACCACTGCTGGCATAAAGAAAAGGAGAACATGTTGTCTCTGCAGGCAACACAATAACAGAAAATTGCAGCGGCAACATAATTCATCAGCAGTTTCCCTCTCCTGCTGTCCAGCTGTGAAATGTGATTGTACCTATCTCAGTTTTTTTATTATCCTTAAATGGAGCTGGCAGTAGGTAAGGCGGGTTGCATTCCAAAACATCTAGAGGGCACCATCTTGGCAAAGGCTGTTCTGGACAATACACAAATAACTGTGGTTCCTAATCACAAAGCCCTTACTGCTAAGCAGAAATTATTTTATTATAGGACCTTAAAACACAGAGGGTCAAATAATGCAATACGCACTTTTTGCTTTGTTGAAACCATAAGGAAAAGTTACATGAATACAGAAATTCGTATATAATATACTGTATCACATCAAGAATAATCTGCATGATTTCTCACACATAGGTTTAATCTGTGCTGTTTCTTGCCCTGTCATGTTCACATCCAGATGAAGCCAATGGCACACCCAGCAATAGGACCAGGACATGCGGCATGGCCCCAATCCCGGGTAACTGAGTGAAGGGGGCTTAGAGGGCACCATCTTTATGGTGTCTGAACATGGATAAACCAACTATTTTTTGAAGCAACACACTTTCAGACCTGGGGTCACTAATAAATTCTAGCTTCTCATTCCAGGTTTTGCTTTGTTTTTTGAAAGCAGCATAGCATTACAGCATTTCGTATCTTTCTGTCATTGACACTGCATTTAATATATTTCCTCTATCTGCATACAGAAGTCAGACAGGATTTCTTAGGTTATTCTTTTCTCATCCTTCAGTAGAATCTTAAAGAGTGAAGTGCTGCCCTCTAGAGGAATATTTTGCAAGGGAAAATTGTGTAACCTTCTCAGCTCCTTTCTTTTTACTGTATCAGGGAATTCCAAAATACTTTTTATTATTTATTTATTTTTAAATATAATTATTAATATAATAAAATTTCTGAGCAGCTTAGGATAAAAGTGTAACAACAAAAACACAAACAACATTCAATACGTCTTATGTTTTACTGCGGTTTTCTAATTTGATGGAAGCCACCCAGAGTGGCTGGGGTAAGCTAGTCAGATGGGTGTGGTACAAAAATTAATTAGAATTAGTAGTAGTAGTAGCAGTAGTAGTAACCTAAGAATCTTACCCATTTCTCCACAGAACCAGAAGACTGGTTGGACAGATTTAATAACCATTTATATATTTGCCCCATAAGACCTCAAGATTCTATCACTTATCATCAATTCAAAGAGGTATTAGAGCTTAATTTGCCATAATTTCCAATCAATGACAAAAGCACATGCCCAAATTATAAATACTGGAAAACTGGCAATCAAGTCACCTCTTCAAAAATATATCAAATGGGATCCAATACTTTCTATCACTAATGGAAGAAATCCAGAGTAGAGAAGGGAGAGAGGCAGTTTACAGTAATTTTTCTAGACATAAATTCTATTAATTATATCAGCATACTTTTGATCATGGTTCAGGAAATTTTCCTACTACAATTTTTGCCATCTGGTATCACATTAGTTGGCTAAGGGTTTTCTGACATGTTGACAAACCATCTGACTTTGATAACGCAATATATTTCCTGTACAAATAAGGTATACTGCATATTGTGCACTGGAGAAGTTACACAAAGTTAATTATCACTTCACCTATGAAATGAGTTTTAAGCCACTCACACAGACTGCAGATGCTCAGCACCTTAGTTGTTTTTTTTTTAAAAAAAAGTCCCATGTGAGGCAAAGCAGGGTAGCAGCCCTCTGGCAGTGATTGTGCCACAGGTTCAATGCCTTCTAGCAGGCCACATGAGACATCAACACAGAAATGTTATTCAGTGGCCTGAGTCCAAGATGTTTAAATGTGCCCTTACTGGCTGAACTGCGGATATATCTGTTCACAGTACTTTAATAAAATAAATTCATTACCTTGCATATTTAGATTTTTATTGACAGCTGTACACTAATGATTGAAATGTTTATTCTCAGTAAGCTAAATGAAAAGATAACTATACTATGAATAAAATTTGCCTAGGTTCACATAACCAGATTGTCAAAACACTCAAGTTTTAGTGTGATTAAATATCAAGCTGACTAAATATTTCTAAACCAGTAGAAACTGATTTATATCAGTTATGGATGCCACTTTCAATAACAAGGTTATAAATCATCTTTGGTGTTCATGCCAAGTTTTGCAGCTTACATAAGTCTAGGCTACAGTCCTTGGCATCTGTATCCATTCAACTCAGAAAAAAATGCTACTGTTCCACTGGAGCCTAGCAACTTGCTATACTTACTAAAAAGTAAGAATTTATAATAAGATGGAAAGCTGTAAGTCAACAGAAGCCTGATTATGGAACAATTAATCTATCTTGTCTTCTCTGGACTAATTATCATATACATTTAATACTAACTATGCATTTTAAATATGAAAATGTTTTTATCTGCATTTCATGGGTAGACCAGGAAGTAGTTCCTGGCCCAACCTGTGTAAAAACTGCTACCTAATTTGTTAACAAAGAACTGTCATTCTAGTGTAGACCAGTGGTGCATCAAGCTCAGCCTTCTCAGCCATCCAAATCATAGGAGAATCATAGAATTGTAGAGTTGGAAGAGGTCCTGAGGATCATCTAGTCCAGCCCCCTGCACTGCAGAAATACGCAGCTGTCCCTTACAGGGATCGAACTTGCAACCTTGGTGTTATTAGCACCATGCTCCAATCTACAACCACAGAGCCTAGGACTTGCCAATCAGAAGGTCGGCGGTTCGAATCCCCGCGACGGGGTGAGCTCCCGTTGCTCGGTCCCAGCTCCTGCCAACCTAGCAGTTCGAAAGCATGTCAAAGTGCAAGTAGATAAATAGGTACTGCTCTGGCGGGAAGGTAAACAGCGTTTCTGTGCGCTGCTCTGGTTTGCCAAAAGCGGCTTAGTCATGCTGGCCACATGACCCGGAAGCTGTACGCCGGCTCCCTCGGCCAATAAAGCGAGATGAGCGCCGCAACCCCACAGTCGGCCACGACTGGACCTAATGGTCAGGGGTCCCTTTACCTTTACCAATCTATAAACATAAAATACGAGTCTACTGGATCAAGCCAATGCCTTACCTAGTCCAGCATCCTGTTCTCACAGTGGCTAACCAGATGCCTGTGTGAAGCCTGGAAGCTGTACATGAACACAACAGCATTTTGCCCCATTTACAATTTCCAGCAACTGGTATTTAGAAGCAGAATAGCAGTGGAGGTAGAACATGGCCATCGTAGCTAGTAGCTTGTCCTCCATGAATTAGTGTAAACTTCTTTTACAGCCATCAAAGTTTGTGGTCATTACTACTTCCTACATAAGTGAGTTCCATTAACTATAGAGGCAACTCCTGATTTAGGCATGTCTGAATAATGCGCAACTACACCGAACCCAAAAGTAGCCCTAAAACATCATAAAGATGTCACGAAAAGGAATGGATCAGGGCGGAGCAGGCGTACATGCTCCATTGACGTACATGGGGCTCTGAAATAGAACCCCCGTGAAAACATCTACTTCCCGTTTTGCGAATTTGTTGTCCAAATCATTCATTAACAGGACTGATGATAGACGGAGGTACCACTGTATTTTATCACCATCTCCTTGAGCATTTTGCTTGCCCTTTTCTGAACCTTTCCCAATATCTACAATATTGAGGTGTGGCAACCAGAATTATACATATTATTTCAAATGTGGTCACAGCATAAATTTGTATAGTCACATTATGATACTGTCAGTTTTATTTTCATTTTTGTTTTTACAAGAATAGAAAACAGTATGGCAAAGTGCATCTTGTCTGTTATTGGAATCATGCCATTCTTTTAAATAGCTTCCAAAGTGTGTTTCAGTGTTATATTTTTCTGAATTAAGGTTATGTACACAATTCATGTTACTGCCCAACACCTGCAAGTTATATTTAACACACAAACCTATTTTGAGGATTTTATTAAATAACAAGGCAGAAGCAGTTCTCATTTCAATGCTAGAAAATACAAAAAATATTGGCTCAACGTATTAGACAGCTGAGCCAGAAAAAACAGCTCTAAGTTGACCTACTGTAGCACCAGAAAAAATGCATTTACACTGTGCCCAAAACCACTGAATTGATCAAACTACTTTCTATATTTCACCAATCAAATAGAAACTGCATTGCCAAATATACCTTCAACAGTATTTTAAAATAGAAATATAAATGCAAGCCTCAGTTCTTTATTAATGCATTTTATTTCTCATTTTTTATTAAAAGAGCTTTATCCCACTCTTCAATATTTCTCTTTCCAAAATGAGTGGCTAGAATACTGGACTTGAATACAAATCACCCTCAGCCACAAAGCTCAATGGATGAGCTTGAACCAGCCAAGCCATATTATCCTAACCTAGGACAATGATGCAACTAGAATTGTAACGCAGCCTCACCATAGATTTGGTGCGGCTGCATTTGGAATGGTGTGTACCATCTAGTAACATCACCTCAGAAAGTATATCGTGAAGTTGGAAAAGGTTCAGAAAACTGCAACCAAAACAATCCAGATTCTATCTCCTGCATCTCCAGGTAAAACTGGAAAAGACTCCTGCCTAAAACCCTGCCAAGCTGGAAGAACAACGGTCTGAGTCAGTATAAGGCTGCTATCTATGTTCTTAAAAGTGTGTGCTCTACCACTGAACTATAGTCCTTGAGAAGCAAGTTTTAGTATTGCCAGTGGAACCACAAACCTGCTCCCCCTTTCCATTTTTTGTGACCAGAAAGCAGGAGTATCAACTGAGAAATATGGGCATCAAGATACACAGTTCAAACAGAATGCAGACTAGTGCAAACCTTGCATTGTTGGTGTGACAGAAGCAACTTTGAACAGCAGCCACTTTCTCTGGTGGACCACATTCTACACAATCTACCTTCTGCAATATAATAATCTTCTCCTACGTAGCACAAAAGCGCTCAGGATGCACAACCCCAGACCACTGGGTCTATTCTCTGGAAGGAACTATAGCTGTGCCAAGCAAACCAGTTGAATTGAGACCCTCTTTTTGTTTATTTTTGAGCTTGAATGAAGCACTCCTATCATTTGCACTTGCTGCCCTATTTTCAACTTACCCATTGAACTTAAAAGGACTTATATCTGGCACGGCAAGTTTAACTCTGCACTGGAAGCCAGCAGGGAGTATCTAGGAATTAAAAGTGAGTTAACTTTCTAAATTGGGTTTTCACTTTTATTCTAATGAAAATATTATATGAATACACACACCATTATATAGCCTACAACAGGTTCCAGAACAACTCAGATTTATTTGTCATGTTCATTTGGCTCCTCTTAGCCTTGATGCTTAACAACGAACAACAGCCATAATTTGAGTGTGTGCTGGGTGCTACATGTCATGGGGGGGGGGCTACCTTTTTCATTAAAAAGAAAAGATTTTTTTTACTGAAATTTTCTCAAACAATACATAACAAACAAAACATACATAGCAAATCTTGACTGTGACCTTTGTTTGGGGGAAGGGGAAGCAAACCAAGGACAAAAACAGCTAAGATGCAAATATCACCATACGGAAGCTAAAGGGGGCCTCCCTTCCTACTGAGTTTAGAACTCCATCCATACCTGACTTGCTTCAGAAATTCAAGAAAACCCACCAGAGAGAATGCTTCTCTTCACATGCTGCTGCCTCTGTTTGGCACCACAGAGATGAGGGGAGGCACCCCCTGATCTCTGCCATTGGCCAGGAAACCTAGGGCCCAGGGAGGCTGCATTCACTGCCGGGGGAAAAGGTCGGGGTATAAATAGAGAGATAATTCCCTGCATCTGAGGAAGAACTTGACAGAAAGGAGGGAGTCCTATCTAACCCTGTCTGTTGCCAGTGAAGGTGGAGCTTGCTCCCCATTCCTTTTCCTTTTTATATCGTGCTTATTAGATTGCGAGCCCATGCGCAGGGGCTGGACTGCCTCTTGACACGTGTCCATCGTTCAGACGGGCGGGCCGTCTGAAGGATGGCGGGTAAAGTCACAGCTTTTGCGTCACTGAAAGCTACGCCGCCTCCTGCTCCACCGACTCCTGGCAAGAAGCAAAACACTCTCCCACGAACGCTACCTTGGCCGCGGCCCGAGGCAAAGGGACGGGGCGCTCGCCTCGCGAAGCCATGGTTCTCTCAACGAAAGAGGCCACCGCCAACAAGCCCTCTCCTCAGCCCGTTCCTCCCGCGCGACGCGTTTCCTAGGCAACGGGTCCTGCCAGGTACATACAAGCATTCACGGTGTATTGAAAGGGGGGCAGAACTCGGGAAGTTTGAGGTGCCCGCGACTTATATTGCAGAACTTCGAATTATAAACGTGCCGTACAGCGGTCACGATGCGGGAAAAGAAGACGCGGTTAGCGTCTACATAGCTGCAAGGACCTGAGAGAGAAAGAAAGAGAGCGAGAGACCACGCCCACATCGAAGAACTTAACTCCGCCCTGATGGCAGGAGGCGGTTTCCGTGCGTCTTTCTGCGCGTGCGTAACAGCCGACGGAGACTACGTGTGTGCGTAAGCGGAACAACGAGGAGAAAAGCTACGGGCCAACTCACATGCTGGTTGGGTCCAGAGCGTGGCTGGGACCTTCCATTCAAGGCGGGGGGGGGTGTTTAGGCGGACGAAACCATGGGGAAGCTGAACGTCGTTTTGCTTCGCTATCTTTCCCGAGAACACTTCAGAGTACTAACTGCGGTAAGGATCACTTGGCGATCGGTTCCAGGGAATCATGAGAGGCCTGGACCAGGGCTTGGTCCCTGGTGGCCAAAAACAGGTTGAGGCCGGGTCTGGGTGGAGATCTGGGAAATCATGGCTTCCGCGGGTGTCTTTGCAAACCTCATGTGCGCTTCTGAAAGCACGCAAATTGACATTAACATTCAACATGGGTGAGTTTGTCCATCAAGCAACAAAGATAAGGAAATGTTATGTAAATAATAAAAAATACGACGATTAATTATTTTGCTGAATATTATGCTTTAACTTTAGTTTTTCATCCAAGTGGTTTCCTCTCTTCCAATACCTTTTGCAAGCCCACTTTATTATTTTGTTTTCTGTGGTCTTTCTACAGAATTGCTCCCACCTGAATCTGCCTGAATCTTAAAATCATCATATGAGACCCTTCTCTGCATCTAATTGAAGAAAGACATGGGTTGGCCTTTAGATGTCAAACTTTTTATAACTGCATATATGTCTTCATGTTTGAAAGCTCCATATTAACACCTGTTCTGTGAGGGCATGAGCCAGTATTTAAAAGTATTAAATGCAAGCACCAGGAAGGAAGCTATATGTTCAAAAACAGGAGGCATGTGTAGGAAACTATGCTTATCAAAATAAAGAGTATCATGCTATGTTTTGCTGTTACAGGTGGAAATGGGCATGAAGAACCATGAAATAGTCCCTGCCAGCTTGATTGCCTCCATTGCTAGTCTCAAACATGGGGGGTGTAACAAAATTTTGAGAGAATTAGCAAAGCACAGGCTCTTGGCTTATGAACGAACTAAAAGTGAGTATAAATGGGGTGCCTGCCCACTGTTATTTCAGTGCATTTTTTATGAATGCCAACATTGCACAAGTGAAATTCCCCTTCCTATCATCCCACTGTGCCCCCTTGTAAACATACGGCAAATAGTTCTCCAACACTCCCAAGCACATGTAGTGGGAAGGAGAGATCCCGTTGCATGGGCAGAAATTGTTCTACCTGCAGACAGGAACCACTGGGTATCACCTGTTGAAAACTAGGGGAAACCAGCAATATTTGGTTGCCAACCGAGGTGCCTTAAATAAGTTGTTTCAACTCATACCCACATTTAATTACATGTTGTTGCTCTGAATATAGAATTCCTCTTGCCTGAACAATATGGATCACAGGGATTGTTGGGGGAAAAGTTCTCTTTGGAGAGCCAGTGTGGTGTAGTGGTTAAGAACGGTAGACTCGTAATCTGGGGAACCGGGTTCGTGTCTCCGCTCCTCCACATGCAGCTGCTGGGTGACCTTGGGCCAGTCACACTTCTTTGAAGTCTCTCAGCCCCACTCACTTCACAGAGTGTTTGTTGTGGGGGAGGAAGGGAAAGGAGAATGTTAGCCACTTTGAGACTCCTTCGGGTAGTGATAAAGCGGGATATCAAATCCAAACTCCTCTTCTTCTCTTTGGAGGACTGCTGACTTTGCTTAAGTATTTTTGGTGTTTTAAAAGGACACACTGCAGAATCATGATAAGCACAGTGTGATGTGATGCACTTATTTTACTTCTGCAGCTGTCCAAGGTTATCGATTAACTAATGGAGGATATGATTACTTAGCCTTGAAAACTCTTTCTTCTCGACAAGTTATCTGCTCTGTTGGAAACCAGATGGGCGTTGGAAAAGAATCAGGTATTTTCAAGCTTTGTGATTGGGGGACAGGGTCATGAAATGTAGCAGATATATCAAAAATGTAGGCAAGTTCCAAAGTGTAAATTTTGAATGTGTTAAAGGCTAATTTTTTTATCATGCTTCTAAGTGGACTGAATCTTTGTTTTAAAGATATTTATATTGTTGCAAATGAAGAAGAGCAGCAACTTGCGTTGAAGCTGCATAGACTTGGGAGGACATCCTTTCGGAATTTAAAAAACAAGCGTGATTACCACAAGCACAGAAACAAGATGTCCTGGCTATACCTTTCGCGTCTTGCTGCAATGAAGGAATTTGCCTACATGAAGGTACTGTTGGTTGTTTTCCCTCTGGTTCTCCTAAATATGGGCCCATCGTAACTAGGTTTCATCCAGAAGTTACAGAAAGGTCTACACCGGTTTCCTCTAACTTTATTCTCACCTGTCAAGACGATGGGCATGACCCATTTTTAACTGATTACTACTTCCACATGTCCCCATCCAATTTCTAAGATTATCCATGGGCTCTTTTTAACGCCTGTACCATCTCTGAAGCAGCAGCTAGCCCAGTGGCAACTCAATATGTGTTGGCCATGAAAAAGGTGAATTCTGTAATAAGGGTTACCAGAAAAAGCCGTGAAAAATTAAAACTGGCACCATTCTTCATTGTCTGTACATAAGTCTATATTGCAACTACAATTGGGGATCCTGTGCCTAGTTCTGATAATCTCCACATCATGTCTGAGCAGGTATTTTGAACCTAGATCTTCTCAATCCTAGTCTGTTTAGGTGGTTTTAAAGGGGGTAGACATGGAAGATAAAGCTGTCAGTGACTATTAGCCATATAGCTAAGTGGAACCTCCATGTTTTAAGTGGAACATTCTGAAGGGGTAAGAGAAAGGGAGAGTTGTTGCCTTCATGGTCTGCTTGTGATTCTTCAAAGCATTTGCTCAGTCACTTTGAGAAACTGAATACTGTGGTACCTCGGGTTAAGTACTTAATTCGTTCCGGAGGTCCGTACTTAACCTGAAACTGTTCTTAACCTGAAGCACCACTTTAGCTAATGGGGCCTCCTGCTGCTGCCGCGCCGCCGGAGCACGATTTCTGTTCTTATCCTGAAGCAAAGTTCTTAACCCGAGGTACTATTTCTGGGTTAGCGGAGTCTGTAACCTGAAACGTCTGTAACCTGAAGCATCTGTAACCCGAGGTACCACTGTACTGAACTTTAGTCGGATCCTGCAGGCCTCTTATGTCCATATCACATTCTTACAATATGATGGATTTTATTTTATTTTATTGTTCTCTGGTGTGCGTTTCTCTTATATGAAGCTTATTTCATTTGTGCCATAAACTAGTACTCAGCTTTAAAACTCCAAGTGAGTACATTAACACACTGGAATATTAATATGTACTTAACTCAAATAGAAGGACATGCACTGATTTTAAAAAATACCTTTTTTTCCTTCTTTTGGCCAGGCTTTGCATGATAGAAAATTTCCTGTTCCAAAACCATATGACTACAATAGACACGCAGTCGTAATGGAACTTGTCAATGGTTACCCTTTGTAAGTATGAAGGTATTTTCTCAGGGATGCTTCTGTTCAATATGATTTATAGATTGCTAGTAGTAGATGTTTGGACAAAGCAGCAGCAGTGTAATAGTAACTTTCTTAGGTATCAAAGTTAAGAAAACCCCTGTAGGAAAGACCTTAGACATCACTGCAGGCTGGGATTGACAGTACTGTAATTGGTTTTCGTTAAAAGCCATTGGTCTGACTTTGTACATGACAGGGCCTTATTTATATTTTTGATAACTGGGAAGCAAGCTGTACTGTATATTTCCCTTGACTTCCATTTCTTAAATAATGAAACTAAGAATTACCAAAATCTAAACAGTGTTGAAATTGCTGATTACTTGGAAATATTCACTAGAGCCCTACATTTCACACTAAAGCATGCAGAAGAGACAGTTCCTTAAGAAAGCATGTAATTATTTCCATAAACCCTGGATGATTAAGGAAAGCAGAAAAGATTGGTTTAAAGGGGTCTTCTAGGCGAACTATTTTGGCCATATAAATCAACATGTGTTAGAAGTAATTTCCTTTTTAAAATAAATGGAGCTCTTTCCCCGTTGAGCAAAATAATATCAAAGAAATTCTGACCGCAGCATGGTATTACTTTTTTCTTCTCCCTCTCTCTCCACACCGCCCCCCTCCAACCCCAGGCTGGGTATTTTAAAAAACAGGTCTTCCAACACATCTGTCAGTAACATCAATATAATTTTTGTAATGGTAGATCATGCCTTCAAATTGATTGATTAATTGGAATGTCTAAAACTTTAAATAAACCTCTGCCCATAGCCTTGCAATCTACAAAAATGGATGTGGTTGGTATGTCTGTTCTACACATTTAGATGTTGGCACAGCAAGTCAGAAATGTACGGTTGTAAGAACACAGAAGCGCCCTGCTCAAAGGCCCACCTAGTCAATCATCCTGTTCTTACACTGACCAGTCAGGTGCCTATGAAATGTTTGCGCTAGCTTGTTGGCTTTTTGCAGTATAGTGACGCTGCAGAGAGCTTGCTGGGGAGATCATGCATTAAAAAGAAAGGACTCAAAAATAACTTAAAGAAGGTTTTAATAAGAAAAACAAAAACTCCATTAACACTAAATACATCAACAAACCAGACCCAACCACCAACCCATCCCCCAGGGTAATGGGAGAGCTAGGTGCTGCTCCTTATATACTCTACCCAGATGCTGACACACCTTAATCAAATACAACTCAGCAGCACCTGCTATGTTACACAGCTGTAAAGCTGGGTCTCGTTATCTTGCTCTGGCCCTTGCTCTGGCCCCTTAAAGACATACACATGGAGTGGAACAATGATGAACCTTTACATTTAAAGAAACCATTCAACATTTCCCCTGCGGTTCATCATTGTGGAACAAAAACATAAAGCATACTTTGTACATGTTTTTCATGTGTAACCTTTGGAAGTGCTTTAGTAAAAATGTCCGCAATTTGATTGTCACCTGGAACATATTTAAATACAACCATTTCATCAGCAATTAGTTTCTTTACAAATTCTAAACGTAATCTTAAGACTCTAGTGCGCTGCGTATTGGTCTCTGAACACAGGATAGCAAGTCCACTCTGGGAATCAAGGTAAGCTTTTACTGGTAATGTTACTTGCATCTGTAGGTCTGCAAATACTTGCAGATACCATTCTACATCACGAGTGGCCTGAACGCATGCGCATAATTCACTCTCTGTTGTAGAGAGACAAATAATGGTTTGTGTCTGGGACTTCCATTCAAATGGACAACCGTTATAACAAAACACTATACCAGACACACCCCTGCAATTATTTTGTTCCACTGCATGAGATGCATCGCAGAAAATTTCAAAACCTTTGTCAATACATGTTGTAAACTGCAGCCTATAATGTTTGGTATGTTTAAGGTACATTACCACTCTCTTAAGAGCAGAGAAACATTGTGTAGTGGGCTTTTCCACATTGTGATGCATCTTTTAACAAAAGCTTAACTGTTTCATATTTTACACTTGGTGAATAGCACAAATCATAATCTTCGCCTGGAATTTGTTGAAAGCCCCTAGCAACTAGTTTTGCCTTGTACCTTACAACTTCATTTTTGTCATTCATTTTAACTCTATAAACCCATTTTGAATCAATAAGTCTCATATCTGGGGTTTGTGGTACAAGAGACCAAGTGTTATGCTCTTTTAAAGAAGCTATCTCAGAGTTCATAGCTTTATACCAATTTACAGCTTGGTGCTTAGGTAAATTCTGAACATCATTGTAGCTTTTTGGCTCAAAAACCGCCTTATTGGCATACACAGTATTAAAATGTTCATCTGCAAAACGTTGTGGCTTCTGCCTCTTTCTATCTGAACGTCTCAGTCCGGAAGGAGAGTGAGACTCCTCAGACTTAATGGGACTCAATGAACTACTAGTTTCAGGTTGTAAATTATCATTGTCAGACTGAAGAGGTGCCTGTAGGCTAAGCTCACGGTCAGAAAACTCAAGAGAATCTAACCTCCCCTCAGATGCCTGTGACTTTAAATCAAACAAATTATCAGATTCAACAGGCTTTTTGTCTTTTCCCATTAATTCAGAAGCACCATTTCCTGCTGCTGCTGCTCCTGCTTCCTCTTCTTCCTCAGTATCATTTATACCATCAGTATCTTGGAAAACAGCAACTCCATTCCAATTTACAGTTTGTATCATGCTTCTGGTAATATGAAATTTGCCAGTTGCTGGTATGTAAATTCTGTACGCCCCCTGCTGGTAGCCCATTAATTTTCCCTGAACACTACGCTCACCCAATTTCTGCTTAGCAGGATAGTGCATAATTACATCTGAACCCCAAATACGTAGGTATTTCAGATTAGGGCGTTTTTTAAACAACTTCTCATAGGGGGTGACATCTAAACCAGAATGATAACTGCGATTTCTCACATAACAAAAAGCATGGAGTGCTTCAGCCCAAAAGTCTTTGGGCAGATTAGCATCGTGCAGATAAGTTTTAACCCCTGCCTGTAAGTCACGCTGCACAACTTCAACAAGCCCATTTTGCCAGGGACTTCGGGGGCAAGATAACTCATGAGTAGTCCCCTGCGCTTCCAGGAATTTCTCAAAGTCCTCAGAAACAAATTCCCCGCCCCGGTCAGAAAACAGGTTCTTAATTGGTTTGTTAAAGTGCGTTTTTACCCAGTTGCAAAAAACCTTGTACTTCTCAAATGCTTGGGACTTCTCAGCTATTGCATAAGTCCAACAATATCTACTATACTGGTCTATCAGAGTAAGCCAGTACTTCGAACCTCCTAATGATGGTGGGAGTGGCCCAACTAAATCACAATGTACACGCTCAAATGGCTCAGTTACTTTCCTATCTGAGCACTACCCTTGTGTGCAACCTTAATCTTATTCTTACAACAGGATAGACATTGCATAAAGAATTTGCATGGTTTTAAGTTGAGGCCATTAACAATATTCTTTGTCTTAATTACATCAGCAAAATTCAGGTGTCCCAGAATTCTGTGTGCCTCGTGGACACACCCGGAATGAGGCCTTACATTCCTCAACCCCTGGCTTGACTGTGCTGCTCTGCAATTTATAGGCGATTGGGAGTAGGTGCGAAAATACAGTCTATATAAACCATCAGATTCCCGGGCATACAATAGACGTTTGTTCCCATCGAAAAACTCACACATTGACTTTAAGAAACGCAGTTATGCCTTGACGAGCAAAGCACCTTACTGACAATAAATTGTCCACTGACTGGCAGTAAATGCAGTTCGCTATTGTAATGTTTAAAGAGTCAAGTTTAACAGTACCCCTGCCAAGCGACTGCAAGACTTGTGAATTGGCTAAATGTACATTACCAATTTCCTCTTCGAAAGAAATAAACAAGCTTCGATCATTGCAAACGTTGCTGAGATGCTCCTGAGTCGATAATAAAAGACTTCCACTTGGCATCTTTAATTCTATTACGATCTGTTGTCCGAGCATGAAAAGCTCGCGGCTCGTTTCTGTCTTTACGGTACGATGTCGGCTGCTGGGCTGACGACCGTGACTGACGAACAGAAACAGACTTGGGAGTACTTTGCTTTCTTTTGGCTCTGCAGTCCTTTGCAAAATGTCCTTGCTTATTGCAGAACCAACAACGCTTTGCAGCTTTAAATGCAGTTGTATCACCACAGGTTGGTAGCGCCATTCAACAGCGGCGCCACCGACAATGGCGGATTCCCTCTAATCTAGAGGGAGAAAGCTCTGCAGAAATCGGGTCCTATCGCTGCAGCGAAGCGGGGACCCTCTCGAAAACCGCAGGCAGGTGAAGCCTGCGACCGTGGTACTCGGCGGGCACCTTTTGCGCTCCCCCCATCGGCAAAGGAACCCTGTAAAGGGCTCCAGAGCGAGACGGGGTGCTGGCGTGGTGCTGTGAGTCAATCGCTACTTCTGCGGAGTGAAGCTGCACAGCTGATGTTGGAGAGTGCTGTCCTCTTTCCTGTGACAATTCGGCTTTTAAACAACAACTCGTGAGTACGACAATTGAAAGATCGGGAGATCAAAGGAATTTCCCCCTTTGATCAAAGGAACAACTTTGAATTTGGCACCGAAGCGGGAAGGTGTAAACAGGAAGTCCGCCTCCCGTTTTTTGTAAATAGACCGAAGCAAAGATCTTATAAGCTAAAAAGCCGGAAAATTTGACTTTAAGATTGAAATTTCCTGCATTTATAACTATAAAAACCCCCCTTGACAGCAGGAGAAAAGGGGGGAAGAAATTTTGACCTTTAATCCTGCAAAGAGAGTGAAAGAATACAAGCTTCCATCATCCCAAACCTGGGGACGGAATGTCAGGACAGAAATTGTCGGTGAAGATTACTAATTGAAAACGGGAAAACTATTGATAGACAGAACTAAAAGAGAAATAAAATAATTCTAATGCTGCTTTCTGCTTGTTTGCATTATACTGAAAGGAAACAAAGAATCTGAAAATCGAAAGTAAATTTCCCTTTGTTGGATACATTTTAAAGATGG